ACAGCCTTATTTAACTTTTATAGAAAAAAATCGAAATTAAACAAAGTGTACTTCTTTTTCGATTTTGTGATATGGTTGAAAATTGTGAAACAATTGAAAATTTAAATATTCTGACAACGTAACACTGATTAAATAAAACTTTAATAAATAAAAAAGGTTTTTTTAATAAAGTTTAGAATATTTACAGGAACAAACATCATTGCAGTGCTTCTACAAGCTTCTTATTTCAAGGCGCCCTAATTACTATACTACAGTCGTACCAATAACTCAAAAGGACTGCTAATCGCGATACAAGACAGCGTAGTCGGGTATTTAGTACCAATTGGTACGCCAGACGTCACGACGAATAGCAAATTGCTACTTTTGTAACTAATTTGTTTTACGTTGACAAGTAGCAATTCATAAAAGCTACTTTTTATTTTGTTTACAATTAGCACTCTCTACCCATATTAGGAAGCGTTAATGAGTTTGTAACACACAATGCCATCTATTGAGATGCATATTTGTCAAAGCTTAGAAAACAATTTTAAAAGAAGTCTTTGCTTAGGAAATGAAACTATTTTTCCGGCTTTAAATCGAGTATATTTGTTTTTTCAAACAAACCAACGTTTCGAGCCCTATACTGACCGTGATTATGGGACCTGTAGAGGGCTCGAAACGTTTTGAAAAAACAAATATACGCGATTTAAATCCGGAAAAATAGTTTCATTTTCTATGTGTAACAATGGCGAAAACCTAAGAACTCGAGAAGTTTTGCTTGCAAAAGACGTCTGTTATCTGCCTGGGATGCTGCGACACGCCATTGAAATTAAAAAAACATCCTAATTTCAACAGGGAAGACGATTTCTCTGTACCACTAATTTGGGATCCAGTATTCCCTCTGATGAAAAATCACAAACAGACATAAGACTGCAGTACTGATTAATATGTTTTAATTTATTCTAATTTCCAATATTAATTAATTATAAATTTAACTTAATAAAAAATAAAATAATTTGTAAAACAGATGAAGCCTTAATTGGAATGTTGTTTGTAAAATTAAAAATAGGGTATTTAATGAATAATTTTTGTAACTATAGTGAAAAAATAGGGTGGTTTGCATTAATATTAGACATAACTGGTTGATGACTTTACTACCTCAGTCAACCGTGAACATGGGACCTGTAAAGTGCCCGTAACGTTAGTTTGTTTGAAAAAACATATATACGCGATTTAAATCCGGAAAAATAGTTTTATTTCTTATGTGTAAGAAACACGAAAACCCAAAAACTCGATAAATAATTTTAACTCACGATCAATATTTGAATTATATTGCAAGGAACAAAACTAAGTTCTTATATTTCATATTAAAGAGGAATTCACGGCTTAAGAATACATTGTCGCCTCCCCATACATGCCCGTGGGGGTCGTAAGAGGCGACCGAGGGCGTCACAAGTGTCCATCTGCTTAGCGTTGTGGTAGGCTCTGTGCCGACTGGATAGCGACCACAGTACACACGGCGGAAAACCCTCCACAGTGAAACGCTTTTGCGAATCGCGTTCAGGGATCAGTTGGTGTACATCCAGTGCATTTGGCCAGACCGGCAAAATGATAGTGACGGAGTGAAGATATTTGTGTTTTCCATCCGTTACTCTCATCTCTGGACTGTATTCGCACTTTCCATCAGGCGCGGTGCAGTCATTTTGTCGAGTCGCAATAAACTGTGTAAATATGAAAAAAGTTTATTGTAAACTTACAAGTTTTTGCTTGAGTCTTAACCGAGCTGGCAAGGTTCAGTCGTGCATCTCACTCGAACTTGTATTAAAAGCAATGATACTCCACTAATTGTCTCGTTCGCACCGCCCATCGTCTCGCGTCTGTGAATTGAAAGAAATATTAAGATCGTGCACAAGAAACTAATTCCACATAATGAACGAATTCCTGTACGTAACGATTTACTATCTCATAGTTTTTTTCTGTAACCCGAAGGTTTCCTGAAAGAGATTGCTATATAGCAATAAGGCCGGCTGTTGTACCTGTCTTTTTATTTTTTGTAGTATTTATCCCAGTGTGGAATAAAGAATATTTGTATTATTGTATTGTGTTGACTTCATTCCTAAC